TCCTTGTTGCGAATCTGTGGCAAGGCTATGAACAGATGCAAGTAAAAACCCAACCGAACAAAAAAAAGTACGGCAGGCATTTACGAGAAAAGTACACAGGGTCGCAGATGCACGGCTTGGCTGCAGTAAACATGGCGGAAACTGCCACCAGGTTTGCCTGTAGGCAATTTTGAGAGGGGAAAAGTTATACCCCCCCCCCCTGGACGAAATCTTCGTATTCATTTCCCCCCAAACGGGGGAAAAAGTGCAGCAGGCCCGCAGGTCCCAAAATCACTTTTGGTGTCATTTTCCCCCCCTGGCTCAATGGTAACGGCCGGTGTAAAAATGGCGGGAAACTGTTCTGCAGGGCGCAAAAATGATGCCAAAAGTGATTTTCGGGCCTGCGACAGTTCTTTCCACATACAAAGGATCCGTCGCGGGGAGGTTTTACGACTTTTCCCTTCTGAGAACGGCGGACAGGTTCAGGATGAACGCTTTGGATGAAGTTATCGTGGTTCAAACCAGCACTAAATCTACCCCACCTCTAGGCTCGAGCATCTGTTCGGGGTTACCATCACTCACCCTACGGATTTAGGGTTTAGGGAGAGAGGTCTATCATGATGCATAATTGGAGAGTGCAAACATCACCGAAATACGAACGACTATGTTGGACTTGGAGTGGGCAAAAAACGCTGGGGGGGGAGGGGAGGGGGGAATATCCTCTTTTCTGTGAGAGGTAAGACACCTGGGATTCGCAAACTAGTATGGCCCACTTGCAAGTTGGAAAAGGGGAGGGGGTGGGGGGTGGGGGATGGCAGGGAAATATCCCCTTTTTCTCACAGTGTTTGCAACATGCACTTCACTGCATGGCACACAAATCACTTCGGCCATGTATGTTGACATACACATAGCAACATACCTACGCATTCCCCTTCCTCTCTCTCTCTCCCAGTGCCACTACCGCCTTTCACCTGCCGATCCTTGCACTTCCTCCTGTTGCCCTCTTGCTCTTCCCATCTTCCGTCCAACTCGACGACACACATTCCATGCACGCATATCTGTTCATTTTTGCAATTCATCTCTCTCCAGTACTACTACTTTTTTATTTGAAGAAAAAAAGTTTTTTTATTTGAAGAAAAAAAGGAAGACGGCCTCTATATATCGTCACAAACAGAACTGCCCAGTAAACCGTAGGCAGAGAGAGAGAAGAGGACAACAAACGAGGGGCTGTGACAAACTGTTTCGTCGGAGTTTCACCGACTACAAGGTTGAACTGACCAGCACCAGGTAATTCACATATTTCGATTCCCCTACATCCGGCTTGATTCGAACACGTGTCCGTATTTCATCAGCTCATGGGTGTACCGACTGAGCTACTTCCTTTCACCCTCCATTTCTTGCAGTTTCTCCTGTCGCTGTCTTGCTCTTCCCCTCTCTTTCTCTCTTCTGCCTGTTTCCAGTCCTCTCCTCTGCATCCTCCTCCCCCACAACTGTTCTGTCTTGCAAACCCCCCTCTCAGAACAATTCCTCTCCAGGTCTCCTCTCGACTTGCTACAGTGGACGTGTGGTTCACAAACAATGATGCATTCTTCACTATAAGGATAACGAACTGCTCCGTTGTTCCAAGTCCGCTATTCAACAGTATGAGTCAGGCACCAGTGAGCTTTCCCTATGCCTAAGCTCTAAAACTGGATGCCACTCTTCTTTCTACAATCCAATTTCACAAATGCGTGACTCTCTCTCTCTCTCTCTCTCTCTCTCTCTCTCTCTCTCTGTGTGTGTGTGTGTGTGTGTGTGTGTGTGTGTGCGTGTGTTCGTGTGTGTGCCTAGAAGAATATGTGACTCTCTCTCTCTCTCTCTCTCTCTCTCTCTCTCTCTCTCTCTCTCTCTCCCCCAAAATAAACAAAGGAGATACCCAGAGTGACAGGATAGGAAATGAAAACTGGACTGGGCACAAAACTGTAGAACAACAAACACTTGTGAACTTTCCTCACTATTTCCATATTTGCAGATTCTGTTGCGTCCTCGTTTTTCCATGAGGAAACGAGGTATAGAATGGTTTGCAAAAGATCAGAATTCAAGGGCAGGTGTGTCAAAAGTTCTCAAAAACATATACAATGGCTGAGTTGTTTGGTATTCCCACTCTTTCTAGATCCCTCCATAAAGGCAGCTGCATCACCAGATTCATATGCATACAAAGAAAAGGATAGTGTGCAGAGCTAACGCTGATTGTTATACAAGGTATACTACTATATATCCTGTTCACCGACATTTCCTATCGCTAACGATACCGAGAACAGCAACCCACGATGCACACTCCACACTGATCTGAAAGGTGACCAGATACTTGGGATTACAAAACAGAGATGCATGAATGCAGCAAGGACCTGGCATCCTAGGAAAGACAGAACAGAGGGAACTCTGCGATCCTTCTCTTCAGATGCATTGGTGCTACTAGCACACTCCTGACGATAGAAAAGCTAGCATTCCTCTCCCCGATCTTCACAGAATCTTCACAGAATCTTCACAGAAAACACATACAGACCCTGACTGACAACCTCAAACATCAGTGACCTTGAAATTTGGAGCCATGGGTGGAAAAAAAAAAAAAAAAAAAAAACAGATGCTGAGGAGGAGCAAGCTCTGAAGAAAAAGATCAATGAGACATTTTTGATCTCTTTTAGACTACAGTTCCCAAATGCTTAGGTGTCCTCATTCCCCTTACTTATTGACAGCGGTGCATGCATAAACAGCTTCCACTTTGCATGCAAGAAATGGGGAGGGCATTGCTATACTTACCTCCCAAAAGGCTACGTACGAGAGGGTTACACCTCCCTTTCTCCCCACCAAAATGAAAAAGACCGCAGAACAAAATGGCAGAAAGAACCAGACAGTAGGATTCAACACAAACGTACAAAACTGCTGTATTGTGGAACAACAGATGTGCCACCACAAAGAGAACATCACTTCCCTGCTTCGCTCAAGCAGATGCTGCAACATATCTGACTAACGACCTGCATCCTTATCTTCACCTGGCAAGGTCACAAGCGGAAGAACTCAAATATCCTGTCTCTTCTGATGATGAGCGAGGATCTTGTTTCATTGTTGGGCTCCGATCAAACAAGGTCGTACCTCCAAGATGTGAAACATAGCAGGCCCGGCAGCGCACACCAGTCTGCATTCACACTAGACAATCGCAAGGAGCGGCAACAAACAATCATCATGTCAGCAGACATATTGAAACAAACGGTTCACTAATTCACGGGAAGACATTGCTTTGGCTTCGAGAGATTGATCCCCTCAAAAGCTCTGTAAGGAAGGGAACAAAAAAACAAAAAGAAGACACATAATTCATTATGGGTTTTCGTCCACCAGAACAATTTATTACACTATTATATGATTCCGTCACTCGCCAAGGGATAGCGTCGTCTCCTCTATGGAAATGGAACAGGAGAGGACTTCCTTCCCCTCACACTCTGTCATGATGAATAATTGCCAGTCGCAAATTCTTGCCAGTCGCAAATTCCATGATTCCATGCCAGAGAAACAGGAAGAGTGTAGCAACTAACAGATATACGTAGCTGACAGTCAATCCTCCATAAAATGTAGTAATCAATCAATCCTGTACAGGGGTCCTTCGGCCGGACGGAAGGAAGCGTATGTGTATCGTTGTACTCTGACTTGCCGGTGGAAAAGGAACCGGACTGACGCTCCCCAGAATGGATAGGCAGCCAGGACCATAAGGCCTCGTTTTACCCAAAAAAAAAAAAAGAAAAAAAAAAGGACTGTAACAAGTTCTAACAACTGACCATCCAGAGCCAACTGCAAATGCACAAGCGCCACCCGAATGATCATTCATTCTGTGGATCGGAAACAACGACGTTGCATCCTAACGACCTGGAACCGAATCCAAAGAACTGAAACAGGAGAAGACTACCAGCCGACTGCAAATGCACAAGCGCCAACCGAATGATTATTCATTCTGTGGACCAGA